GTCCGGAGGCGGGCTGGGGCTGGTGCTGGCAGCTGCCGTGCTGTGCGGGACCGGGGGGGTCACCGGGCGCGTCCTCAGCGGTGAGTGCGCGGGGCCGGGGCCGGACCGCGGCGGGGAGGGAGCGGGGGCGGTTTTGCTACCGGTCCCGGTGCGGGGGACGATGCGAGAACTCAGCCCTCGCAGGGAGCGGGAACCGCAGGAGGGGGGGGAGGGGGGGGAGTGGGGGGACCGACCCCACTCGTTGGAGGACCCGCGTGTCGGAGGAGGGCTGCGGGATGGGATGTCGAGCCCCTCCGCTCTCCTCCGCTGCCCCGGCGGCTCCTCGGGAGCTCCCGCGGCGGCTGCGGTGAGCGAGCGGTGGCCCCGCCGGAGCCAGCCGGGGACCGGAGCACCCCTCAGGGCTGGAAGCAACTCTCGTTTCGGGGCTTCATGGGCAGAAAGCCCTGCTGTCAAACTTCTGCAGCAGCCCCAAGTCAGTTCCTGCCAATGCGGTGTTGTCTCGTACAGGCAGATTTCTAGGTTTCATTGCTTGGCTGCATAATGTTAGCTCCGTTTTAATTGTTTTAAAAAAAATCAGAAAAAAAGACTGCTAGGGCGTCTGTCTGAGGAGCAGCTGTACATTGAGATTTCTTTGCGTCTGCACAGGAACCTTTCATCTTTGTTTTTAATACAGTCCGGAGGAAAAAGCAAACTTTTAAGAGCATACAGCATAAATTGTTCTGTTCTCTGTGGGTGTATCTACAACTCTCAAAACCGAGAGGAAGACAACACTTCAGAAATCTATATCTCACTTGAGTGTAGGTTTAATTTAGGAGATGTAGGATCACATTGTGTCAGGTGCATATGCTCAGAAGCTGCTAAATGTAATGAAAAGCCTTTTGTTAATTGCACTTTGGGTCAAACCCCCCAAGCTAAAGCTCTTGGAGGCACGATGGGCGTGCAAGCGCATCCATACATTTCTCTTGAAACAAAGATTTACACACGTAGCTGCACTTGGTAACAAGTTATTTGTGTAAATCTCTGTATATGCAGGCAAGAACCTGTCTCTCTACCAACTGATTCCAGAAAAACGCAAATTATTTGTATGCAATTGTTTCAGAGGCTGTAACAATAGCATATAAAGAAAACTTTTTGTAGTTTTGTTTTGGTAGCAAACATTTGGCTGCTGAATTCAGATAACTTTCTTAGTTGCTGATGGAGTACAGTTATTGACAACTTTGATGTCTTATTTGAAGCAAGTTCATGTGCAGAACTGAGATAGTGCTGTTGGGTTTTGGTGAAACTGTATCTTCCAGGAAACAATAGCTAAGTAGCAGTACTTCCAAAATTTTGAAAAAGGTTGCCTTCCTGAAGTGTACACTGAAATATTTCATCTACTCCTGTTATATTGTGAATTGTATTGTCAAATACTGTACAGCAAAGCTCTTAGTTTACCAACTTATGTGAATACTATGTAACACTGTTATTTTAAGGAATAGTGAAAATTACGCAGCCATGAGATGCATTTTGCATCAGTAGTCTCAGTGCAGGAGTCCAGTGTGGCTGAGAAAACCCAGTCCCTTAACCTTCTAGCTGAAGCTTCTGCATTTAAGCGACACATGTAGCAAACTGAGTAGAGGTCCAGCTTTTAAAACAATGTGTGTACTGCTTAGTCAAACTCTTCCTAGATGCATGTAAGGCTTTGGGGCTTTGAAAGAGTGTAGGCTCTACCCCATGCTTCCCTGAAGCTTTTCAAAGCATGTGATGAGTCTCATGTCACTGTATTATGCAGCTAATACTTGGCTGGCAGAACACACAGAGGATTTGAAGGCACTTACAGAATGAACCATTTAGGTATTATCAGGTGTATTAGCTGAAGTTGTATTCATTAGATAAAGAGTCTCTAGACAATAACAGCCAAAGATATTTAGCATGCCTGTGCCAGAATATTCTGAAATACTGGCAAGAGAACTGTTTTGTGGTTTGGTTTTTTGTTTGGTTTTTTTTCTCTCTCCAGGACCACACCCCTATCCTGCCACATGCACATGGATCTAGGTCTAGTACTAGATGGCATTTTTTCAGACAAGAAATAGTACTATTGAATTATTGGGCAGTGTGTGCTGTCCACCTGACTTCCATCTAGCTTATCTGCCTATTTTATATAGGAACCAACAGTTTCGACTTACACAGGCTTACATTTAAAATCATAAGTCTACATCTTAAACCTTTTTCTGAAAAATTGCTAATTTATGCTTCAATCCTGATAATCTGGAATAAATGGAAATCTCTCTACTCTCATGCCTATTAAGTTAAATATATAATTCTTATCACTCACATTGAAACTGTTCCTGAAACTGACTTGAGTGCTCATTGGAACTTGTGGAAAAATTCCCATTTATTGCAGTAAGTTTGCAGCAGACCTAGCAATAATTGAAAAATTGCAACCATTTTGATCACAGTATCAAGAGGGCAGAGAAGGAAGGGTCTATCTTTTCAAAATGCCATTTCCTTAGGTAAAGGTTTTTTGTTTCTTTTTCCAAATATGTTAATTTTCTAGTATATAATTAAAATTATCATTTGCATAAAAAAAATCACATTTCGGTGTTATTTCTTTGTCATCTTTAATTGGGGAATTGTTGAAGACAAGTAATACGAATGCTTTGGAATTTTTAATGTAGTTAGATGGATGTTTTGTGAGCAGTTCTCCCAGCCTCTGTATCAGAATAGCTAGTGTTGCCAGAGAATTGATTCTTAAAGAAAAAAAATATCAAAGCAGGCTCAGGAGAAACTGCTGAGTCTGCCTTGCTGTCCCATGACATCATGAAGAACATGAAGTGATGATAATGCAGTTTGCAAAGATGCAATTACTTTAAGTATCTATTGGGCAGGAAAGATGCAAGCTAATCTTATTACTAATCATTTAACAGCCTATGTATTAATCATAGACGTTATACTTTAATGACTGCTGTATGCTTTTTGGATATCTATGGTTTTTTAAATTTTGCTGTTTGTGATTGCTGTGCATCGATAGCAGATTAAATACTCATAAGAGTATTTAAAGCAGTGTGTATCTCTTCTGATGTAAAAGTATTTGGCGATATAAAACACTAAATGAAGGAAAACATTTGGTGGGAGATGAAACAACAGGACTTGCCCCTAAACTGTAGGCATATTCGCTTCAGGTACCTTTAAGGATGTGGATATGTTCATTTGCACAGCTTATGACTGGATTTGAGTTGGTCATAAAATATTGTAAGTAAGATAATTAAAGAAATATATTCACCGGTAATGAATTGAATAGAGATAACAAACCCTTTCTCAAAAGGCACAATTTAATTTAGTTCAAGTGGTTTGGCCTGCATATTTCACCTGAGTTTTATCTATCAGATTTCAAGTATTTTCTGTAGATGAAACCTACTGTTGTGGGGGGTTTTTTGTGGTGTGGTTTTTTTTTGTGTGTGAGAGAGGCATGGACTGTTTAATTTTAAGCTACATTTGTATCTCAGTCTTATGTATAGGATACTTATGCAACAGTTGTGTGCTGAACACAAAACTTTGTCGTGAAGGTCCAGCATTTGGTTCCAGACTGGAAAAGCTTTTAATGGACATGCATGCCCACATGATCTTTTTGTTTAGGCATAGGACTCAGTAACAGCTAAAGCTGAGACTTTGAGAAATGCAAAGGAACGTGGGCACTTAACTCTCCTAGACTCCTTTACTAATTCTTCTCCTTATGCACTTATTCTGAGCCATGTTTTTTTGGGGACAAATCAATGATCTAGGCTCTTAAAGTGAAATGAGGTGTTGATTCTTGGATATAATACACATTTCTACTAAACGCACCTTGCTCCTAACCTAGCAATTCCATAATACTCTGTGGAAAGACACTTTATGTTAGGTAAACTACAATGACTTATAGATGACAACACAGTTTTGATAGACTGAGATGTGTGGTGGTGGATGTGTCCTTCTATAGCAGGTTAGAAATACCAACGCACTTAAATCAGCTTCAGGTATCAGACTTTATTAGAGGTAACCCCCCTTTATTAACCCTGTAAAGCTTGCCTTGCCTATGGGGAAGAGATATGCAGGTTGGCCAGAGTCTAGCTCTGTTCAGGGGCCAAGGAAAGAGTGATGAAATATTCTAGGTCTTGGGTAAGTCATGTTGAAGTCATGTTCTGTACCTTGACTTTACTTCTCTGTAGTTCCAGTCTGATCCTGTGTAGATCAAACTTCTTGATTGTAAGATGTTTACAGGAAAACATGCTTTGGTTCATAAAGTGTTCTATACAGCACTTTTAAAAAAGTAATTCTCATAACTACATTCTCTTTGCAAATCTGATGGATCAGAAAAGAAGTATCTAGTACTAATGTGAAATAACTAATATTAAGCAATGATTTGATAGTAATTTCTGCACTGTAATCCCATACTCATACCTGTCACTCACTAGTCAGAAATTATTTGAGTCTTTTGTTGAAGCAGTCCCCACTCCCATCACTGACAGACAGTAGAACCTCCAGTTCCAACCAATCTTAAGAAATACTAAGTCCTATCTAAATAGTTGGCCTGGCTCTAGCTAAATATAAATGTAGCTGCAGCATACAGCTAATCACTCTAAGCTCACTGTGTAGGTAGTGAAAGAGAAAAAATCGGTATTTTTGAGGTGGATTAATTTCATTTTAAAGCGGAACTTGAAAATACTTCAGGTACACCCTAAAAATGCCTATTTCTTTCAGTTGTCTACACGGTCAGGTCAGTGAGACAGTTCAGATATGGACAGGCAGATTGTGAATGACTGAAGTTTGATGAGATGAATCCCACTCTATGTATCTCAACAGTTTCTTCCCATACAGGGCTGTATACATGTGATGTGAATTAGGCAATTATATTTTACTTCATTTGACTTCATTATAAGGGATACTTTAAGAGAAAAACTTATTTCTCCTCCCCTCAAAGGTCCCTTCTATTTTTGCCTTAAGTGAACTGTCACCAATTCTAATATCCCACGTGGATTGTCTTTTCCCACCTTTTTTTTTAGTAGAAGGTGTATGAGCAAGGACTTGCCTGTTGCTTTCTCTTCTAATTGTGGAACTGCTTGTC